CACACACACACACACACACACACACACACACACACACACACACAGTCACACACCTTCACACGGACACGACGTTCGAAAACAGATATTTTCCTAGAATCATGTCTGGCGACCCGACGCGAACATCCTGTCGTTACTACAACCGCACGCACGTGTCGTTGTCGCTTCAGCTATATTTATACGCTTCCCTATAATATGCTGCCATAGTATGTTGCTATAACTTGCTATATACATATGTTTGCTATATGTTGCTATGCTGCTATAATATGTTGCTATATATGGCGAAGGTTCAAATTAAACACTGAATGACGTAGCTCACGCTCAATTGCGACCACATAGCTTATCCTCTCAGTTGTTCCGCAATGTGCCTGTGAACTATCGTTTGACGCAGGGAAGTGGTATAATAAGACAAGAAAATAACTTGTGCAGTGTTTCAATAGCTAATTTAGTATTGTAGACATTTTGTAATGAAAATAAAATTCCTTATTTCTCAGAAATTCGGTCGAGTTCGTTAAACATTCACAATTTCTGGCAGTATGAACACCGGCCAGATGTTCATGGGCATAATATAACCCGTCACACTATTTACATTCGTTTGGTAGGTATATATTTGGTCATTCGGAAATGACCGTGTGAATGTTTAGCAAAGATCGAAACAAATCAGCGTTATTGGCGTATTTAAAAGAAAATATTCAAACTCGAGCCAAACATTTTAAAATACATCAATCATCATGACGTAATGCTTTAATAATTAGGACTAATTAAGTTAGTCACTACGTCATAATTGCTCGTTTTGGAAACCAGTCCCTTTAAAAAATCACAGACAATCGTCACAGTACTATCTTCGGGGACACAGACACACAGAATCCCTTGCCTATCACTCTACTCCTGCTGCTCCCCCACTATCTCAAGAAGACTAAATTATTCCATATAACCCTGATCTATGACATATGCTTAGTCCTATATATTATGCTGATGTATCCGCAGGTAATACTCGTCAGCCAGCCGAGTGAACAGTGATTTTATGGTAACATGTGATAATACACAGCCATGCACGACAGGGCAATTTTCTGTACGAGCAGGCCCATGGGTAATGGAGTGTGTGGGCGCGCACCCACGCACGCACAGCACTGCTGACGTACGCACGCGTAGCATTGTTGACGTAGATAGGCACTCGCCACTGATCTCCATAATACTAACTAGAAAGGGCAGTTGTCGCCAACCACATGTATCCCCCGTGTTCTCCCCAAGATGTGTAAGTATACGAAGTTTGGTCGCGCTAGGTCAATTAGGGGCCGAATTATAGAGCGGAAGGGAAATATGATGAAGGTCAAAGTGAAAGTAAAGGTCAAATAGTAAGGTCGCAGTGACCTGGTTTTGGTACGCTGCTCACCTTCTCCCCAAGATGTGTAAGTATACCAAGTTTGGTAGCGCTAGGTCAATTAGGGGTCGAGTTATAGAGCAGAAGGAAAATTCTCTGCGGCGGACTGAGCGGCGGCGGCGGCGGCGGCTGGGGAGACATCAAACCATAGTATCTCCGCCGACTTCGTCGCGGGGGAGACAATTATACACTCTACGTATCTCTATATATCTCTGTATATAACTGCTATATATATAACTATATATATATATATAACTCTGCATATAACTCAATATACTGTTAGTATATAAAGATCAGTGGAACGGTCATGGACAGCATTGTTGACGTAGATAGACACTCACTCACGCACACACAGCGACAGAATTACTAACGTATGCACTGAGGCAGACGCAGGGACAGCATTGCTGACGTAGATAGGCACTCACTCACGCACACACAGCGACAGAATTACTGACGTATGCACTGAGGCAGACGCAGGGACAGCATTGTTGACGTAGATAGGCACTCACTCACGCACACACAGCGACAGAATTACTGACGTATGCACTGAGGCAGACGCAGGGACAGCATTGTTGACGTAGATAGGCACTCACTCACGCACACACAGCGACAG